AGCAGAGAGGAGGCCCAGAGAGGGTAGATCTTCTCTGCAGCTGGTCATCTCTTCATCCTCTGTCCTGCTCTGGCTAAGCTCAGGGTGGCATTTATGGACCTCCGAGGGGAGAAGGTGCATGCCAATTGGTCCGTGGTTGGGTCCAGAAGAGGCATCACAAGTCCCCACTCACATTGGCGTGGGTCTGGCCATTTGGCTCACAGCTTTCAGGCCCTCCCTGGCCTGAAGGTGGGGCCTTTCCAGGGACCTACTCTCATCTGCCCAGGAATCTATCTGCCTCCTGCTGCCATTCATGGTCCCCGGGCTCAGCTGAGACTTTGCTTGGAGGTGGAAGAGGGTGCCTTCAGCAGGGAGAAACTAGGAAGCAGGGAAAAATACTTCTGAGGCTCTGAGAGCAGGGGGTCCTTCCTGGGCCCCCAAGAGTGAAGGGATGCCTGAGTCTGCAGCTGCAGTTTGGGTAGCTACACGCAGGAGGGTGGTGCTCCTGCCTGCTTTGTGGAGTGAGAAGCCTGGGTCTGCAGCTGTGGTTTGGGCAGCTGCAGCAGTACCCAGGGAGCTCCTGCTCCAACTCAGAAGGGGCCATGGAGTGTGCAGCCCCAGCTGTGTCTTCCTGTTGCAGCTGGCATGATGGCAGCAGCAAGACATCTGGAGTGGCCACTGCTATCAGTAACAATCTGGTATCCAATTCATATTCAGATTTCCTCAAATGCCTTTTCTTCCAGATGTTATTAATAGCTAATTTTTCAAAACATTGAAAAGATATATTGAAACATCATACATTAAGGGCTATTGCTTTTGAATCTCTTTTCATCTAGAACTGACTATTCTCCCCCAGGTATCTTTTTTAACCATGACAATGACTTTTTGAAGAGGGCCAGTAATAGAATATCTCATACTCTGAATTTATCTTTTCATCTTGGTGTCAATTAAATTTTTGCTCTATCTCCTCTTTTTCATCTTAGTGAAAGTTAGTTGTAAGGTTTCCATTAGATTCAGGTTACAGTTTTGGCAAGAATACTTCATTGGTGATGCTGCAGAACTCATGGTGTATCATATCAGGAGGTAAGTAATAATGAATTCTCCCATTCTCAGTGGTGCCAAGTTTGGTCATTTTGTTGAAATAATGACCTATAGAGCTCACCATTATAAAATCGTTTTCTTTTGTTATCAACATATAATCTCTGGGATAATACTTTGGAATCCTTTTCTTCAAACTTTAAAATTAGTCTTCCATATGTTAGTTGTCCTTCCAAAAATAAAAGGTTTCACTTATTAATTAAAGATATGAATTATAGTTCCTTTTAAGAAGGTGGGAACATGAGATGTAGGATACTTAATTATCCTTTTAGTTACATTTTATCAGAGTAAGAATTTAGTATAATAATAGTCACCTCCAATGGTAACAAATGTCTTAACATCTTTTTAAAAGTATCATTATCAACTTATAGATCTCTATTTATTCAGTGTTTATAGTTAACTACAGTCAATATTCTTTTGAATACCCAAAAGAGTAAATTTTATGTATGTAAATTATATCTTGATAATACTTTTATAAAAAAGAAGCAAGTAAGTATGTATGTTTTATGATTTCCCTTTCTTGATTACAAAAGATTAGCACACTATATATATATACTATTTTTCAGATTTCTTTTTTTGCTTAAAAATATATCATAGAACTTGGATGAATCTTGAGGGAATTGACACTGAATAAAAATAGCCAGTTTACAAGAGTTACATATGTGTGATTCCATTTAGAGGATCTTGAAATGATAAAAATATAGAAAGAGATAACAGAAAGTGGTTACTAGGGGTTGGAGGAGGGCATATGGCTGTAACTATGAAAGGGCAGCATAGCAGATGCTTGTGCTGATGGGGTAATAAGAAAATATACTGACAGTTTAAAAATTTCATAAGATATTATCTTGTCAGTCTTATACAATACACTTAAAAACTTGAATAATAAGAATGACCTTCTATTTCTATGAAAATATAAATCTTCCAGAATTCATAAGAGGTCCCTGAAGACATAATCTACACAAACCAATTACCATGAGACAAATAGAAATCTTATTGTCAATAATATTGTATTAGAGTTCACAAGAGAAACAGAACCAATAGGATGTATATGTATAAATATACAAGAGATTTATTATGGCAATTGGTTTACTCTATTATGGAGGCCAAGAAGTCCCCTGATATATTTTCTGCAAGCTGCAAAATCAGAAAAGCCGGTGGTATAATTCAGTCTGAGCCCAAAGGCCTGAGAATCAGGAGGTTTTGGAAGGATAGGAGTGAGTAGGTGTAAGTGCCAGAATCAAAAGACCTGAGAACCAGGAGCTCTGAAATCTCAGGGCAGGAGAAGATGGATGTTCCATCTCAAGCAAAAAGAATAAATTCACCATTCCTCTGACGTCTTGTTTTATTAGGGCCCTGAACAGGTTGGATGACACCTCCCAATGTTGCTGAGGGTGGATCTTGTTTACTCAGTCTACTGGTTCAAACGCTAATCTCTTTTGCAAAAACCTTCATAGACACACCTAGAAATGTTTTACAAGCTATCTGGGTATCCTTCAGTCCAGTCAAGTTGATAGGTAAGATGAGCCATCACAAATATCAACAGCCTGTCCTTCCAATAAAATAGGTCTAGATGGATTTCAAAATCTTTAAAGACAAGGTAATGCCATTGCTATTTATGTCATTCCAGAGCATGGTCAAAAGATGAAGATGTTGAGATTCTTTCTAAGAGAAGAGTCAAACATTATTTGCAGGTGCTGCAAAAATTCTAGAAAATAAATTGAAAAATGATTATAAATAAGAAAATTCAGGATAGGGCTGAGAACAAAATTAATACTATCAAAGGTCTTCCTTTACATGTAAAACAGTTAAAAGATGTAAATGGAAAATCTCATGTACACCTTAAAGCCTACTGAGAGACTGAAAAGATCTGAATAAGTAGAAAGGTACAACCTGCACCTGAACAGAAAGGTGATGTTAACCACAACATAATAAAGGTAACAACAAAAATATACACATGTATTGAGCTCTCTTATTTGACCTGTTTTAAGCCCTTTTCTTCTAAATCCTCATGGCCTGGTCTTATAAGGTGGGCAGATGAAGAAACAGACACAATGAAGTGAAGTGACAAGGTCATGCAGCAAGTGCAAGACCATAAATTTTAACCTCTATACAACACTGCCTGAATTTTCTCTCAATTAACTTAAAAATTGAGATAGAATTCATACACCATAAAATCCAGTTTAAAAATGTACAATTCAGTGGGCTTTGGTACATTCAAAAAGTTGAGCAATCATCACCACAGTCTAATTCCAGAACATTTTCATCACCCATCAAAAGAAGTTCTGTACCTTGTATCAGTCACTGTCACTCCTCCCTGCCCCAGCCCCTGGCAACCACTAATCTACTCTCTGTCTCTAAGGACTTACCCATTCTGGACTTAAAAATATCTCAAAAAGTGTAATGTAAGAATAGGCTCAATCAAAATTAAGACATATTTTAAAACTACAATGATTAAAACAGTGTGATATTGGCAATAAATAGATCAATGGAACAGAACCATGAACTCAGAAAAAGAACCAATACATATGATAATTTAGTGTATAATACCAACAGCAATGCACATCAGTAGGAAAGAGACATTTAGTAAATTTACTAACATCAGAAAAAAATTAAGTTGAATTCTTATCTAACTTCTCAGAACAAAAGAAATTCCAGACATATCAAAGATCTAAACATAAAAAGGAAATCATTAAAATATGGGAAAGGTGGGAGCTATAGCAAAATAATCTCAGAGTGGGTATGAACATTCAGGAAGCAACCCAAATGTAGCTGTACACAACAACATGCTTGAGTTTCACAAACATAGTAATGAGTTAAAGAAAGAGGTGTTAAAGAATAGACTAAGAATCAGAGTATGATTCCACTCTTATGGAGTTAAGAATGAGCAAAATAAACTGTGTTTTTAGGAAAGCTCCCAAATGTGGTAAGATTGTTAAAAAAAAAAAAAAAAAAGAAAGAAAAAGAAAGAAAGAAAGAAAAGAAAGAAGGAAAAATTATTAAAAAAAAAATCCCCATATAGTGGTTACCTGCGGGGTGATGGTGGTACTGTGAACAGGGAGGGACACATGAGAGGTTTCTGAGTGATGGTATTGCTATGTTTCTTTAATTCATTGCTGGTTATGGGGCTGTTTACTTGATAGTTAATTATTAAGCTATTCACAAAAGTTTATGAACTTTCCTGTAGAACCATTATGCTGCACCATAAGGGAAGAACAGTCATAAAGGGATATAGATTGTGGTCTAGTATAGTATTATATCTTGGGTAAATTTTTATTTGGGGGGTATTTATATTTTTCAAGCCCTTCTTCCTAGATTCCTCCAGATTAATCGTTTCTGATATTTAGATGGGTCTCTCTCTCTCCGCTTGTGTGTGTGTGTGTGTGTGTGTGTGTTGTGTGTGTGTGTTGTGTGTGTGTCTTTTCTCAAGGGACCCTGCAGTCCACTTTCTGGGAATGCATAATATCAGTAACTAATCATATCAGAAAAACATTATGGAAAGCCATGTGGTTAAGTGGTTGCTATCAAAATGCCATTCCACTTTTTGGGGTAAACCAGCCTTTACGTTTCTTCTAATATAAACTAGATTTCACTTCTAGATTTATAGAAAGCTGCTCTCCAAGCCTGAGCTCATAAAATTCAATTTATTAACTACTGGATGGGGATGATACTCACCTTTCAAGGCTGTTGTGAGATTAAAATAAGATAATTATGGCTACTAAAAATTCTAATGAAAAGGGCCAAATTATACCATAAATTGTTGTTCTAGAACCAGCTAATAATGTTCTTTCATTCCACAGATGTAACGGAAAACAGTTTGTAAAAATGGGTTTGATATGGTTATCTGTCTGAAACCTTTTCCTCTTATTGTCTGACTGTTTTCTTTTTTAACAATGGATCCTAACGTTTCCTCCCATGTGTTCTAGGACATTTGTCTACCCACTGCTCAGTCGAGGGAGGCCTTATCCAGTTCTACTCATTTTCAAAGGCATTGCCTTCTGTGCTGGAAATGGATTCCTTCAAGGCTACTATCTGATTTACTGTGCTGAATACCCTGATGAATGGTACACGGACATACGATTTAGCTTGGGTAAGTGAATCTGGCCACTTCTCACCTACTCCCCAGCTAACAACCCTTCCCACAGTCTATGTGGCCGTGGCCTCTCTCTACTGTAATAACCTCCTAATGATCTCATCTTCCCCTGACCTCACACCTACCATGGTCTTTTCTCTATATGGTAGCCAGAGAGACTGTTTAAACACATATCATGCCATTTCCTATCTCAAAACTCTCCAGTAGATTTACTCTCAAGATAAAATACAAATTCCTTCTCACAGCCTATAAATCCTAAATGTTCTTGGCCTTTCCAGTTTTCCAGCATCTTTTCCTGGCTCCCTCCACCTCCTTTTCTGTGCTCCTGTGCCAGTGGCCTTCCTGCTGTGCCAGAACCTGTCAAGCTTTTCCAGCCCCAGTGTTTTTGTTCAGGATTTCTCCCTCTGCCTAGTGCAGGGGTGTCCAGTCTTTTGGCTTCCCTGGGCCACGCTGGAAAAAGAAGAATTGCCTTGGGCTACACGTATAATACACTAACACCAACGATAGCTGATGAGCTAAAACACATTTCATAATGTTTTAAGAAGCTGTACAAATTTGTGTTGGGTCACATCCAAAACTGTCCTGGGCTGCGAGTGGCCCACAGGCTGCGGGTTGGACAACCTTTGCCCCCATGTATTCATGGGATTGGTCCCTCACTATATTTAGGTCTTCACCAATTTGTACCTCCTCAAAGGGACTTTTCTTGACCATTCTATCTAAAATAGTTGAAGACACTGATTATTGAGTTTTTTTTTTTCATTTTCTTTAAGTGGAGTTAAAATCTAGAAAGATTCATTTTTTCACACTATTTTGGCCTAAATGAAAAAATAATAGGATAGCAGGAATTATGCTTAATTCCTGTTAGAATCACACATCACAGTCCTTCCATCAGCTTAATACTTCTGGCTCTCCCTCTAAAACATGTGCCGCTGGGCTCACTTTTCCCTAAATTACTTCATCATAGTCCATGCTACAATCACCTCTTGCCTGGTCTTCCAAAATAACCTCCAAACTGAACTTTCTACCTCCATTTCCATCCTGTGTACTGTTTTCTCCACAAAGCAGTCAGCGAACATTTTAAAACACAAATGACCAGAGGATTAGCCGTGTGGTACTGGTATATGCATAGAATACTCTGTGACCACAAACACAAAGAAAGAAACACAAAAACAAAATCAGACCAAACCAAGATCTCTGGAGACACCTCCAGAATCTATGGTTAAATAAAAACAAATAACTTATGCATAGGATGCCCACTACACATTTATAAGTAGCAGGTATTGTATGCTACTCTCTATGTAGGAATGGAATAGAAGGTAACGTGTGCTGCTGTGTATACTTGGAAACTGAAATATTGAAATTGTAAAAAACTTAATAAAAAGTTTTCCTACATATCTCAGGGTAAAGGGGGCAGAGTGGGCAGGCAGAGCTTTTCCTTCAATACAGTTTGTCCTTCGAATTATGAAATTTCATTACTTACTTTTTAAAAAAACCTAAATTGAAAAAAAGTTTCCTGAACTTGAGAACAAAGACACAAATGTACCTATCTGTATTAAGCTTTTAATATAACCACATAGGAAAATAGCTTATGCTATTTTACAGGAAACACAGTGGAAGTAAGCTGGTTGTATTAATAAAAAAAAAAAAAAAAAAAAAAAGGACATTCTAAGGGACAACTGTCAGATCTCTTCAACAAGTCAGTGTCCTGGAAAAAAAGCCAGGGATCTGAGCTAGATTAAAAGAGCCTGGACATAACTAGCAGATGCTAGGCATAATCCTATATTGGATTTTGGTTTGCACAAACCACCTTTAAGTAGACATTTGGGAGATACCTGAGGAATTTGAAATATGGCCTGAATATTAAGTCAGATGAAAATCTGGAAGGATAGGCACTAAAGTGTTTAACAGTAGCAATTTGTGTGTGGTAGGAATAAGTGTCTTGGTTTCCTTATGTCTGCTAATTACTGCTCAATATTCTATACAACCTTTTTATTTCATTTGCAATAATAATAAACAGAAATCAGACTCCATTTCTCTCCTGCTTAAAACAGCAAGGACCTCCTATGTCACCTAAAAATGCAAACCCTTCACCAAGGCCTAGAATGCTTGCTGTGGCTTTTTACTTAGCATCCTGTCCCCGTCTCCTCCAGCCCACTGCATCCTCAAGCTTCAGGTGAACCGGGCCTTTGTCCTTCTTGTCCCCCTACCAGATTGTTGTCCCTCAGATGTTCTGCTTTCTCATGATTCAAATCACAGGACAAATGTCAAATCTTCAGAATAACTTTCCCTTAGCTACCTCACTTAAAATTGAGACAGCCCCCACCCCTCCTTACTCTCCATCTCATGACCCTACTTTGATTTTTCTGCCTTGCTGTGATCATTATGTGATTTTTTTTACTTTAATTTTTTGAAAAATTCATGTCTGTGTTCCTCCACTAAAATGTAAGCTGCATGGCAACAGATACCTTGACTGTTTTCTCACTCCTGCAACTCTGGTGCTTAGGATAGTGCTTGGTATGTAGTAAGCTCTCAATTAATATTAGTTGAATAAATGAATGATGGAATGAACGCATTGATGGTCTTCATACCATTCTTGTGAGATTGGTTCTGTTAGAATTTACATTTTACAGATGAGGAAACTGAGGCTGAGAGAGCTGAAGCGACTTGCTCAAGGACACACAGACAGCTGGTCCCAGGTCCCTGCTTTTCTCCATTGCGGTGTGTGCTGTCCCCCTTCCCTCCCCGCTCCTCTACCGTCCCTCCTCAGATACCCTTTCTTCCAGGCCAATGATCTTTTGACTAGACAAGGTGGAAAATCCTTGTTTTATATCATATCAAATAAGGTGAGAATAGACCTGATCGCTTTTACTAAACTTGTTCTTGCTTTTGGCCCAATATATTTTGAAAAGCACAAATGTGCTTTGCTGGGAGGTCTGGTTGGACCTCTATGTGGGACAGTGAGTGTTTCTGGGCTGTAATAATGTCCTTTTGGATGCAGGATCTAGCATCCTGATCCTGGCTCTCCTCACCTCAGAACAAGAACCCTTCTGTACGAGTAGATAGTGCACGTGGAGGCAACTCCAGGATATGTGGCTAAGTAAAATAAATAAAGATGTGAACAGTGTGTGTAGTATGTCAGGGGGTGTGTGTGTGTGTGTGTGTGTGTGTGTGTGTGTGTGAACTGACAGTGGTGGGAGTTAGTTTGTTAGTGGTCAAGCCCTCCAAACTAGCTCACCTTATTTTCATGAGAGTGAGTGTTTCAGTCAAGAATGCGCTCAGAAAACCAAACAATAGTGACTAAATAATTCAGAATTCATAGTTCTTACAGAACAAGAAGTGTCAAAGTAGGTGGCTTCTGCATTCCTGTTGTTGCTTACCGACACCGTGAGTAACTCGGGCACTTTCTGTCTCCACTGTTCTCAGCATGTTTACCTGTGGTCTTCTTGTTAGTCACTTCATGGTTGCAAGATGGTGACTGAGGCTCAAGGCATTACATCCGGCAGTCAAGACAGGAAGAAGGAGGAAGTAGGGGCACTGGCCTTGCCTGCACCTTTTTATCAGAAAAGCAAACAATTTCCAAGGAAGTCCCTCCACCAGCACTTCACTTTACATCTTATTGGTGAAACTAGCTCATGTGACCACCTTTCTCAGTCCAACCTCTATAGTGGGAGATGGCAAAGGAAAAGGGGCTGGAATCGGCTGTTGAGATATGCAACCTTGATCTGACTGTGAATGAGCTAAAGGCTTACTATTATGATCCGTTCATTTATTTGTTTATCTGTTTGAATACTGGTCAATGGTGCCGCCTCCTGCTCTCCTCTCTCTTCCTGTCTGTCTCCATTAGTGGTGCCACTGTGCACTTTCAGCCTGAGTCTAGGAAACAGCACACCCGCTCCCCAGTCAGAACCAGGACTCATGGCCCTCCCCGCTTTCTGCCATATCTTAGGACCATTCTTTAGAAATTAAATGCCCCACCCTTCATAATTAGGAATTAAATGCCCCTCTTTCATTTTAGCTTAGCTTGTGAAGAAAGCACCAAAATCTGCACACATTTAAAAAGAAATTCTCTTTTCTCTCTTCTTTGTCAAGGTATCTTCTTATTTCTTTTGGGAATGGGAATCAACATTCATAGTGACTACATATTGTGCCAGCTCAGGAAGCCTGGAGAAATCACCTATAGGATTCCACAAGGTAATGCCTCTCCTGCCCTCAGACTCCCAGTCTTCCCTGGAGCCTGTCTCAAGAATGACACTATGGTAGCAGATGGGGACGGGACAGTGAGGGCACAGATGATGCAACGGCTCTCAGCTTGCTCTTGGCTTCCCCTGCATATCCAGTCCCATCACAGTGCGACTGCTCTTCTGATCTGAACCCAGAAGCTCCAGAGAGCTACCAGAGCCCTCAGGAAGGTGTGAGACCACAATACCCGGAAGGTGGGAGAGAGTGGGAGGTTTGAGTAGGGTTGGAATCAGCTACCTACAACCTCATTGCAGTAGATAAGATTGTCATGTACGGAGGGCTCATCCTTTCTAGGTTTGCAAATGCTGCTGAATGTTTGGCCAATAAACGTGTGTCCTCCAATTGATCTAGACTTGTCTTATGAGCAGTTAAGGGTAGAACTTGTGTATTTCCTGCCACTTGTATGCTCTTAAAGGTGTAGAGAACCATATTTACTTGATCAAAACTTAAGGTGGGAGGTCTTACATGCACGAGCGCATTTTTGCAGCATATTTGTAATCATAACTGTTTCAAAGAAACCAGGGTAAGAGACGGACAAATACAGGCAGATAGGAGTGAATCTGTCCAAATAATCCTTCAATAGATTTAGATGGGTATTTGTGTAGGTCTGTGGCTTCCACTCTTTCTGATGGAAATACAACCCTTTATTTACATCCAAAAATTGCCTCAATTATGACATGATGTTAGTACACAGTAATAGTAATTGAATAAAAAATTAATGACAAAGTTCCTATGAATTCAGTGACGTATTCAAATGAATTTGAAAGTTGTTAATATCCTAACAGTATATACATGAAACAAAAATAACTTAGTAGGTTAAGATGTTTTATTTACTGTATTCATAAATGATTTATAGATCCTTTGCACTAGATCTATGATTCCTCCCAGGGCCTAGAGAAAAACAGGTTCAGAACCACTGATACAATCTTATGTTCAAGAAAGATTCAACTCTAAGGAGCTTTGATTTTAAAAACATTCGCTCCATAACTAGATAAATAAAGAAGAGCAGAGAAAGTGCTTAAAAACCAGTTGCCAAGATTAGTTTCCAACTTTTGATTTATAATAGAGAATGATTTAAAAACAAAGTATTTTTACATAACTATAGAAAGAACAAAATTGTTTTGGTTGAAACTTCCCTAGTTTAATGTGGGCCATAAAATTTGAGTGCGGATATATTTACTATCATTAGAAATATGTTGATTTCTAGATACAGTTCTGAGAGAAGAAATACCTGATTGGATAGAAGATGAAACATTTAAAATCAAGAAGCCAACCTCACCAGCCTCCAGCAGGACAAATTCCTGTAGCTCCTACTCCCTACTTTAAACATGAACAGAGTAGAGTGCTTTGCAGCAGGGTGGGGAGGGGCAAATTCCAAAAGAGAATCTAAATTCCTTCTCCCATAAGTTCAGATTTGTATTATTTTAGCGCAGTTCGCAGTTTCACATTTTGGGACTGTGAATGTGAAAGTGTGAGTGTGTCCAGGAAAGAAGTGGGGAGGTAAGAGGTGGCCCCTTCCTCAATAGAATGAAACAAAATCCAGACCTCCCACACCTCTCCCTTGTCCTACCCAAAGTTAGCGGTCCGGCAGTTGTTAGAGATTTGGATAGAGCCCGTTGAGCCGTTGGGGCTGCTCTTCGCAACTCCAGAATGTTTTCCAGGCAACAGGCTGTTGTTGCTTTGCTTCCCCTTCTCTCCAAGAGGATTCCACCAAAATTCCAAGACTATGGAGGGAGTCTCCAGCCCCACATTTGTTCTTGGTGCCTTTGTGTATTTTGGAACAACACAGAGGGGTTTAATGTCACAGTGATTCAGTTGCAATGATTGACCTTCCCATTCTTTTGCACGCAGGTGGCATGTTTACGTATGTTTCTGGAGCCAATTTCTTCGGTGAGATCATTGAATGGATCGGCTTTGCCCTGGCCACTTGGTCCCTCCCTGCACTGGCATTTGCATTTTTCTCACTTTGTTTCCTTGGGCTGCGAGCTTTTCACCACCATAGGTAAACTTGCCAATAAAAGTAGCTGCATTCATGTAGCTTTTTTTCTTCTCTAAACAGGCTTTTAACCTGCAGAGCAAGGTTTAGAAACCGAAGATATTTATTTTCATAAGGGAAGGTTGATAACAATAATCTGGGTTAGTATATTCTGACATATTGGGCTTTTACTGAAGTTGGAAGTTAGCTGGATGAGAGTTACAGTAATAATTTTTTTTTTCTAAGAACAAAAATAAGTCCATGGAGACAGAGGTAACTGAGGTGACGGCCAGGAATGCCCTGTGCCTGTCTTGTTGAGGAAGACTGTCCAGCAAGAAGTGCCTTGCAACAACATGAGTTAGTTGACCAGGCTCTGTGCCCACCAGGCAGATGCTTAGATAAAGCTTCAAGAAGCAGAAGCAGCAGCTTCCATTACCATGCTTCAATTTCATCCTCTCCCACCGCATTTCTGGAAGTGTGCTCCATGTGCGGGACCATGGCCAGCACTTTCCAAAGCTACACAGATAGTTGATAATAGTTGATAGTTGTTTTTTTTTTATTCTTTTTATAAAAAAATTTTATTTATTTTTATTATAATTCTTTTTGAGTCAGAGTCTCACTCTGTTGCCCAGGCTGAAGTGCAATGGGTGATCTCAGCTCACTCCACCTCCAGGGTTCAAGCAATTCTCCCGCCTCAGCCTCCCTTGCTGAGACTGCAAGCCCACAACCATGCCCAGCTAACTTTTTGTATTTCTAGTAGAGGCAGGTTTTCACCATGTTGACCAGGCTGGCCTCAAACTCCTGACCCGAAGTTATCCACCTGCCTTGGCCTTCCAAAGTACTGGAATTACAGGCATGAGCCACCATGCCTGGCCTCTGTGGATAGTTCGGAGTCATAGCAGGCTAGCAAGCTACTAAAAAAATACTATTTCAATGCCTATGTGGCTGCTATTTTTGGCTACAAGATTTGGTGCTAACAGTTCAGGTAATCACAGATCCCTGGAAACTCCAGAAAGATGATTTCCTCTAGAATCCGTGCAATACCAGTGTTTATTTTGGTACTGCCCTCCTTCCTGACATCCACCCTCTATAAGTCATAACCAAGGTCAACACTGGCTTCTGGGGAAGGTAGGACAAACAATTGCATGTGTGGGGCAATCTTAGGGCTGTCCCATCTGCTGGGAAATGCTAGGAATTGCAGGTGTTTCAGAACCCTCCCTCTGAAGGTCTGGCGTAAGGCTTCACTAACCCGCTAACCTGGGGTGAAGTGGGGACAAACGAATTAACTAAAAGCACTGCTGGAAGTGAAAGGTAACGTATTAAGTTGTTATCAGGCTTTAATTCAAGTGTATATTTCAGATCCTTTTCCTAAAATACCTTTTGTGGAAAGAGAAAGCCTATAATTACTGGAGACTGTATGGATACTCAAAGAAGGAATGTATGGTCTTGTAACCAGAACCCTAGGGTTATGATTCATTGCCTAATTTTGAAAGTTTAGGTAAGAATGAGTTTCTTTTTTTCTGAGTAGAATTGTTTGAGGATAATAGTTCTGAAATGAATGAAGCAGCAGCTCGTGACCTATTCCTACCACTTCCTAGACTCTGTGGGGAAGAGTGGCAGAAGGTTCCTAGTCCATAAGAGAGTCATAACGGTACATATACACCATGGAATATTACGCAGCCATCAAAAACGATGAGTTCACGTCCTTTGTAGGGACATGGATGAACCTGGAAACCATCATTCTCAGCAAACTGACACAAGAGCAGAAAATCAAACACCGTATGTTCTCACTCATAGGCGGGTGTTGAACAATGAGAACACATGGACACAGGGAGGGGAGCACTACACGCTGGGGTCCGTTGGGGGGAAATGGGGGAGGGGCGGGGGGGGTGGGGAGGTGGGAAGAGATAGCATGGGGAGAAATGACAGATACAGGTGAGGGGATGGAAGGCAGCAAACCACACTGCCATGTGTGTACCTATGCAACAATCTTGCATGTTCTTCACATGTACTCCAAAACCAAAAATGCAATTAAAAAAAAAAAAAACAGTTCTTACTGTTATATGTAAATTTTCAGTGCCACAAAGAAAAGTCAGCACTGGGACAAAGGATCTCTCATCAAGGCAATCTTTACTTCTTGGAGAAAGGTTATACTCACCAGCAGTCTTGCCATGAGAGTATAATGAACAAAGGAAAAGCAGACATAATTATCCTTTATGCATTTGGGGTCATCCTTACTGCTGTGTCTGATCTCTGTTGGTTGGAGCCAGACCTCACAATCTAAACTAAAACCTGATTGGCTAACAACTTGAAACTTTTCTAAAAGGTAAAAGCAATGGAGAACAAAAGGAAAAGAGGAAGTCCAAATAAGGAAGGGACAGGAAGTTGCTTAGGAAAGGACTTACAAAAGTAATAGCATAAATATCTTTGTTAAAGTACAAGGACATAGAATGTACTACATGCCTGTGAGCCTAACAGCTACATAGGATAGGGCTTACCAGAGAACTACTAGCAAAAAGTAAGAAAGCTTTGAAGAAAGTGTTTAAACAAACTCTTATTTCTAACACTTATTATGATTATTCTTTAATAAGAAAGGAAACTTTGAAGAGGAACTTTTCTACTTCCCACATTACCATTTCAGGCTGGGTGTGCTGCCCACCAGAGGCAGACTGGGAGTGGGAGAAGAGAAGGCATCACTCAGCACTTGGAGGGTCCCTGGGAAGTGTGGACTCCACCGTGCTTGGTTAGGGGAGGGACAGTAATTCCACCAGACATTTTCAGCTACTGCAACAACGAAACCGAAACTGAGGCCTCATCCTGTTATGTCAGACCACCAGAGAAGGGCCAAAAGACATAGTTTTTAATAGGTTAACAGGATTTTGTGAAGGCCTCTATAAAACAAAGGCAGACCTTCATAGCAGAGGCAGCACGCACAGAGGCAGCTCACCAGACTTCTCAAATCACAGTCCCCAAACCCAGCCACCTTTCGTACCTGATTATTTGCCCCCTAATTCAAACTAAGGTACTTTAACAGAGTGTATCATCTTGATTATATCTTGAGGGCTACCGTCACAACTAGTTAGAAGGACAGCCTGGTAACTTAAGAAGAAAGAATTCTTTAAGATGCATTTGTCTCCTGTGGTTGCTGCAACACATTACCACAAACTGGGTGGCTTAAAAGAACACAGATTTGTCTTTCACAGTTCTGGAGGAAAGAAGTTTGAAATCGAGGCACTGGCAGGGCCACGCCCCCTGTAATGGCTCTAGGAAAGAATTCTTCCTTGCCTCTTTTTAGTTTTTAGTTTCCGGTGGTGGCCGGCAACCCTTGGTGTTCTGCGGCTTATAGCAACCTCACTCCAATCTCTGCCTTCGCCATCACATGGCCTTCTCTCCTGGATGTCTCTGTCTCCATCTCTTTGTCTCTTATGCTCTTCTTTTCAGTACACAGCTATATTGGATTAAGGGCACACCCTTCTTCAGTATAACCTCATCTTAATTTAATTATATCTGTAATAGTCCTAGTTCCAAAAAAAAAAAAAAAATTACACTCTCAGGCACTGGGAGTGAGGACTTCAACGTATCTTTTGGGGTGACAAATTCAACCCATAAGACAAGGTGATATTTTGTTGGCATTCCCAGGCCTCATGGAAGGATATTGGGGAATATTACCGGTTCTCTTTGCCCATCATCTTTGCTTCCCTGTATTTCTCAGCTGAATTCAAATGAGTGCTTCCTTCTGGATACCACATTAAAAAAAATTCTGGTAAAATATACATAACAAAAATTTTACCACTTTAGCCATTTTGAAGTGTAAAATTTAGTGGCATTAGGTACATTCATAATGTTGCACAGCCATCACCACTACCCTCTGCGTATTACTTTTTATTTCCCAGCACAAGAAGCTTCAGGATTGATAAGAAATAGGCTGTGGGAAGGAGAAATAAGAATCACAAATGACCATCGGGAATAGTCAGGCCCTAAATACCTGCAGGTTGACTTGTAACAAAGATCTTGGACAGAGCAAACCTCAGCTGTCAGCCATGGCTCCATTGTATTTACAGTTATTTCTTTCTTGTCTTTTAGGTTCTACCTCAAGATGTTTGAGGACTACCCCAAATCTCGGAAAGCCCTTATTCCATTCATCTTTTAAAGAAGCCAAATTAAAAAGGAGCAAAACTCCCACAGTGCTGATGAAAACTGTCAAGCTGTTGAAACTGTAATTTGCATGATATAGTAGTCCTCCATATATATGTGTATGTGTATATATATAATAGTTGGTCTCCTGGCATTTTGCCAGCTGGCCTAATTCCCACCTGGGGATTCTGAGTGGTGCCTGCTTAGAGTTTACTACCACCCTTCCAGGGATCCCTATCCTGATCTCCAACCAAAGCTTCAAAAAGACCCTTTTCCAAATGGCGACAGTTGCTTCTTAGCTATTGCTCTGAGAAAGTACAAACTTCTCCTGTTTCTTTCACTGGGCAATCTAAGTACATGTGGCTTCACATTCACTCCCTATCAATGGAAGACAACTCTGTAGTGAAGAATTTTTTGGCTTGAAGGCAGTGCTTATAGACCTTATTAAATGCATTTTGTATCCATACAGAGTAGCAGAAATTTAAATTCTGAAGTCACAAAGACCCAGAGCAAACCCACCCCTAAATGAAAACCCTGGTCATGTCTTTCTTTATCTTGGTTAATCGGGAAATATATGAAATTATTAGATAGACCTTTAATACAGGAGCCCTCTCCTCATATTGTTGAAAAGATACTGATGCATTGACCTCATTTCAAATTTTTGCAGTGTCTTTGTTGATGAGAGCTTCTGTTTTCCAGAAGATTTCACAATCCCCAGAAGACTGGTATCAATTTTCTTGAAGGCCAGGTTTTAATAACAGAATGACATGACCCTGGATGGCTACTGAGAGTGGGGAGAAGAGTTTTATAATAGACGTTGCAAACTCCCACAGTCTTGGAAACTGGTGCCAATATCCAAATAATGAGTAAATGTGAAATAAAGAGAATGAATGATGAGGTTACATGCTGCTTGCCTCCACCAGATGTCCACAACAATGTGAAGTACAGCAGAAGCCCCGAGCAACTGTCCTTTCCGGGAACTTCTTCATTGGAGTTCTCAGGACCTGTTCAAGAAGGTGTCTGCTAGGGGCAGCTTGGAAGCCACCCATCAAAGGACTTGAAGGCAGAGGCTGAAAAGTGCAGACTAAGAGGGACATCTGGGTAGAAAACTTGCTTTGTTTGGCTCGGACATATAGATTTTTTTTTTATTTTACAAAGTTTCAAAAACTTAAAAATTGGGGGCTTGCTTCATAAAACGCTAGCATTCTAGTTTCATTTAAAACGTTGGAGGATCTGAGCATATAGAGCCCACATTTCCACACCAGAACTGGAACTATGTAGCTAGTAAGCATTTGAGTTTGCAAACTCTTGTGAGGGGGTCACTCTTCCAAGGATGCTGAGATATGGGACTCTCTAAGTACGGGGCTGAACACTTGTAATTGAAATATGTGTTTGAACAAAAATCAAGAAATTGTTATAGAAAAAAAGAAATATGTGGAAATATTTGTGTTTTCAGGCCTATGTGTGTGGAATGCATTGCCAATATTTAGCAAACTGTTTTGAGAAATGAGCACCAGTGGTGCTAAGTATAGAAACTCACTATATAAGTCACATAGGAAACTAGAAAGGTCTGAGGATGATGTAGATTACTGAAAAATACAAATTGTAACCATATAAATAAGTGTCTTTGTTGTTCATTAAATACCTCCATGGTCATGGATCTCAAGGAATTTTGTTTGAATTAAAATATCCTGGGACTTCTAGAACTTTTCACAAGGTATTGATTTCCCTGTTCCCCCAGGCCCCTGTTCCCATTCACCCTGTCTGTAGTGTTGTTTCCTTTCTTCTCTTCTCTCTTCATGAAATTAGGGGCTATGTGCTGGAAGTAAAAAAGCATGACTTATAGTGCCTCTCAGCCACAGTTCAGAACTACAAGGAAGTACAATAAAGGCACAGGAAAATGTCCTAAGTTTAGACACCATTCTTGGTACTCAGGCATACACAGGGGAAAATAAATCTTCAGGTGTAGCTTGAGCTCTGTGACATAAAAGACTTTCAGTTCTCTCTATGACGTTGAAAACTACTTTTTTTAAGTCCTTTATTTCACTACCATGTAAACATCCAGGCCAGTCCTTGAGATGAAATAAGTGTACAATAAATGGCAGTACTCATAGTCTCAGGACAATGCTGCCATTTGCAATTTTATTTTATTTTTGCCACAAGAGGGCGCTTTCTAAAATTGTATGTAGTCAACCTTGATTTAGGTAATTGACATATTGGGGAAACCCTAATCGGCTTGCCTGATGATGGGTCTTTCAAGATAGCATGATCGTGGAACTTCTTAATCTGAATATAGGGTAGGAGAGCGTGAACTCTATAAAAGCTGAAATCTTCCCTTGATAATTTAAGTATTCTCAGTGTTCTAGGGCCATCATGTTCAATGATAGTTTGTCATTGTTTAGGGCTGGAATATGTATGTGGATTAAATATGATAAAGGTCTGAATGTGTGCTTATCTCTAAATATATTTCTTCCCACTTCTAAAAATAGAGTGCAACAAAATTATAGTTAATTGAGGTGTCCATGGAGTGGTTTTGACTAAAGTAATATAATGGTGTCCTAGCTCACAAGGTACTCTGTCTTGGTTTTGCTGAAGCTTTCACGGAAGAGGCGTTTTCCTGCCAACCTTGACGAAGATGTTGAGTTTTGTTTGTTTTTCAGAATTTAGACTTAAGGAGCTGAAGCAGACCTCAGACATCAGCTACTCCCACCACATCATATTATACGTAGTGACACTGAGACCCACAGAGTTAAAAGGCCTCCCCATAGCTGGTACAGAGCTGGTCAGAGCAGCCATCTCATTTTGCCCTTTTGAAGGTCAGAAGTACGTTTTTTCTGCTTAAGGCACAGGCTTTAGGGCTGCCATCTGGATTTCTACAGAGCTCATGCAGGAGAGAAATAGCCAGAGCTTAAGTGCTGTTGCACAATTCAGTTATACACCTATTGTCGCATGCCTGTTTGTGTGTGAGGCTTCCCTCGCTCTGTGGGAGGATCAGGCTCATGCCCTTTCATAAACCTATTTGACAGAATAGAGAGTTTTCCCTCCGCGGAGTAGTCAAGACAACATGGATGTTTAGCATGGAAAAAGGTTTTGAAACCCCCTTATCCCTAATGCTTACTTTCATAAAGAAGAGCACTGGCTCCACTGTATTCTAAATGGAAAAAGGAGCTCTAATGAGAAATATGAAATTTAGCAGTGATTTAGGCGGCTTAGACCCTTTCAGGAACAAATAAATAAACCTATGATTTTACAACCCTGCAATATGATAATAGCTCTCCTGGATTTTTGTGGTTACTTCATGGCAATCTCACTAAGAAGCAGGGGAGCAAGCTCTTGGCACATGAAGGAATAGACTCATGAAGAGCCATTCCTTTTCCTGCTTGGTCCTTTGGTTCTCTAATAAGCTATGGGCCGAGGTCCAGGCAGGACAAACAAGGAGAGTAACAGCAATGTAAAGTGAATCTTTCTAGAGAAGGATGCTGATTACTTTATAGCATCTACACTATCCTATGATGAAAGAAAGAGGCATAGAGCCAGATGGCAATGTGAGTGCTTGGATGATTTAATAAGCCATTGAGTGGATTTAATTTCTAAGTAAGAGATTTGTTCATTCTTTCTACAAGTCCATGGATCTTAAAAGGTTCTATGCTATTTGTATTGTGCCTCATTTCTCCCCATCAATCTTAGCTTGGGATTTGGATGAATGAAATAAGTCATTGGTGAAATAATCATTTTTATTGAATCAAATAAATAATCAGAAGATTAAAGTATGCACCAAGCTGTGTTAGTTTCTTTAGTCCTGTCTTTTTTTGGGTTCAGGTTTTGTTTGGTTTTGTTCAATGCAGTCAGAATCTAGATTTTTTATTGGAGGGATATTCAATATCCCTCCGACATGGCAAGCTGGCTGGGAGGAGAAGAAGAACAAAGAAAGTGGAGGAAGGAGGGGAGTAATGAGGGAGAGTGTATAAGGGAGGGTTGGCACTGGAAGGTCCTTGGGAGACAGAGGCCTCCCACTGACAGAGTGGGTGTCTTCCCTTTGCTGTGTCTAGGCTGCACAAGCCTGGTCCCTTCTTTATCCCCCCAGGAAAAGAAGCCCCTCTGAGAGAGAGAATAAACACTTATTAGAGCTCCATTTCATAAGAAGCTGACTTTTAAAAAACGCAAGCCATATGGCTGTGCTTCACTATAAATAGTTGTATTTCTGTCAGCTCACCTCGTAAAGATAGTTTTAGTCCCGCGTAGCAGTGACATTGGAGAAAGAGGTGAAGTAATTGCTCTGAGAGTGTGTGGTAGCATCCAAGTCTGCTGAGGCCAATGGGGAGATGGGAGCATCTAGAGGAATACACCACCACCTGGGTTCCCCTTTTCAAGGCCTTTGTTTTCCTTTACTCCAGAAACACTCTCCCCAAAAAAGAATCCTTCCCTATAGAGATGCATTTTTGCAGTGTTGACTAGAAAGCAATACCATAAAATCAATTAAATTTTGGCAATTTATTAATGCTTTCATTTGTTACAAATTGCCTTTCAGATACTGTTTCATTAAAATAATTATTTGTTGTGGTTTATAACAGGATAATCTCTCAATAAATAAGTAAATGAGGGTAAGTAAAAATAGGAGTAAAACAAAATAATTGGGAGGCCGAGGTGGGCAGATCACTGGAGGTCAGGAGTTCAAGACCAGCCTGGGCAACATCGTGAAACCTTGTCACTACTAAAAGTACAAAAATTAGCCAGGCGTAGTGGCAGGCTCCTGTAATTCCAGCTACTTGGGAGGCTGAGGCTGCAGTGAACTGAGATCACACCATTGCACTCCGGCCTGGGCAACAAGAGTGAGACTCTGTCTCAAAAATAAAATAAAATAAAGCCAAAGATAAAGTTAAAATGTGAAAATGCCCTCCAGAACATCATGTACAGTGGCTAAATCCAAACATAAATTGGGTGCTGAGTCTTCAAAGTACAGAAAGAAAATGCCAGTTGCTAAATTCACAGCATTCATAAAAGAAAAACAGCTTGACCAGGGAAACATAACTATTACTGGTACTGACTCATGATAAATTTCTACGCTGTGTGATGTGGAAAACTACATTCATGAGAACATCTTAACAATAAATTCAGGGGTCACATTGTGCAGCTTCTTATAATGTCTTTCCATAAGGACAATATGCTTATGCCACAGCTCAATTCTTTGGAAGCAAAGGGGATGAGGAGGTTTTTTTTTTTTTCCACTTAGGATGGAGAAAGCTACCATAGATAATCATCCCTAATCCAAAAATGAGGAAAAGCCAGATAGTCTATACAATTACAACTTTTTGAGCCTTTTAATGAACTGAGATAGGAAAGCAATCAGAAGAACTGAATTTCAAAGGAAACACACAACGGTTTAACTTTTGCAGAGTATGGGAGAAAGAGGTAATGGCCATAAGAGTGGGAAAGAAGAAAACAACAGAAATTTCAATGGATTATCAACAGCTGAGTGGAAACTGGCATGAGTTTAGAATCTCTAGGAGCCTCAGACACTTGGCCGATCAAGCATTCATATCTGTTCCAGGATGAGGGGTTTCCTGGGACACAGGACTTTCTGTGCTCAAACTGGAAAAGTCCTAGGCAAACTGGGGTGACCTGGTCACCTTAGGCTGCTTGCTGGGTCTTTTGCAGGATCTTTTACCCCGACCTCCACCTAGAGCTTATGAGATGGATTGGGGACAAGAAGGAGACCTGAGAGGGCCCTTCCTTGATGGTGCACAGTCACAAAAGCCCACTGTATTAGTTTGTTTTCACACTGCTGATAAAGACATACCTGAAACTGTGAACAAAAAGAGATTTAATTGGACTTACAGTTCCACATGGCTGGTGGCGGGGGGCTCAGACTCATGGCTGCAGCAAGAAAAAAATGAGGGAGAAGCAAAAGCAGAAACCCCTGATAAATCCATCAGATCTCATGAGACTTATCCACTATCATGAGAATAGCACAGGGAAGACTGGCTCCCATGATTCAATTACCTTCACCTGGGCCCCTCCCATAATGTGGGAATTCTGGCAGATACAATTCAAGTTCAGACTTGAGTGGGGACACAGCCAAAGCATATCATTCCACCTCTGACCCCTCCAAATCTCGTCCTCACATTTCAAAACCAATCATGCCTTCCCAATAGGTCCCCAAAGTCTTAATTCATTTCAGCATTAACCCAGACAGTCCAAAGTCTCATCTGAGACGAAGTAAGTCCCTTCTACCGATGAGCCTGTAAACTCAAAAGAAAGCTAGTTACTTCCTAGATACAACATGGGGTACAGGTATTGGGTAAATACAGCTATTCTAAATGGGAGAAATTGGCCAAAACAAAAGGGTTACAGGACCCATG